AATACAGAAAATACTACACCTTACTTCAACTATATAGCAATAGGCTATATAGACTACAATCAATGTTAACCATATGGTCTATATAATATAGACTAGAATAGACCATGGTTGAGAAATTGTGGTTTATATATAGAAACTGATAAAATAATGTGTTGTACGAAAAAAGAAAAATAGAAATAAAAATAAAAATAAAATAATGTTTATTATATAATATATATGTTTTTGACAATGGGGGCAATATATGTCAATTTTGTAAGGTGTTCGGTAAAAGAAAGGATGAAGTAATTTCTCATAGTAAACGGTAAGTATGACAATTATACAAATAACCATTGGTGATTGGCAATGTTTGTATAAGAGATTTTGAAGGTTTGAGTTGTTATGTGATTTTAGTTATACTTGATGATTGGTTTAAGTTGGTATAGTGGTTGTCTGCTATTAATTAGTCTATTACTCTAACTCTAGTTTAAATTAAATTTTATAATAATGAGAACAACTTATTTAAACTACCACACAACATATATCACATCATTATTTAATACGTAAGAATACGAGTATTTTATTCTTATTTTATTACTCAAGTTTAAAAAAAATAGTTGAAATCTTTTGTTTTGAAGGATATAGCACGAGGAGGGAGACCTTTATCTCAAATCTCTCCACCTCACTTTTTTTTTTATACAACATGTAGGGATGGGGGATCGAACTCACAACCTCTAGGTTGGAGATATATGTCAATTACCGCTAAGTTATTATCGTTTTAGCTCTCCACCTGATCACGTGATGTACTAAAAAAAATTATATTCTATTTACGTAAATGTTAAAAATGAACGGGTTACTGGTGACTTGAAAAAGATTAGAATTCAATTATTAATTTAAGAAACTTCCTCAAAGTGTCACGTTTAATTAATCGGATAATCATAACCTAATTAAACGGCAATAATCAAGGTCTCATTTATTAGTTCAATTTAATAAATTTGGCTATGAATTTAATTCTTTTTTTAAGTCCAATAGAGAGTACAAAAGTTGAACCTCTAATTTTGGAAGACGGAAGTAGTGTCTTGACGGCCCAAAATATTCTCGTGTCGGTAAATTATAAGGAATGAGATAAAAAAAWTTTTAAAACCCATCAGAATTAATTAAATTTAACCGCTCTCAAATCATATTATAAGWGCGCTTCAATTTAGCGAAATGGTAGATAAATTATTAATTACAAAAAAGATGGAACTTTGAGGACCAAGTTGATGCTGAGACTTTAATAGCCTCTCCAAGTTGAGGAGAAAAGCCAGATTTGTTCAAAAAAAGATCGGTTTCTTTTCACCAAAACATTCCAAAGAACAACACCAATACCATTTTTCCAAAGAATTGATATACTACTGTCAGATGAGGGGCAGACAGCCTTGGTGAGAAAAAAATTATTGAATAAGACTATCGTAATATTGACTATTAATTGTCCTCTAATAACTGTTATAAGGTTCTTAAAAAATTCATTCTCATTTCTATTCTCTTATCTATTATTTTAATTAATTTAAGGTTTGTTTAGTAACTTTTTCATTTTTAGTTTCTTATTATTTTAATTAATTTAAGGTTTGTTTAGTAACTTTCTCATTTTTAGTTTCTTATTTCTCGCGTGTGAGGAAAAATAACTGTTTGGTAATTGTTCTTATTTTTTCATTTCTCAGCTTTAAAAAGCGTTTCCAAAATTGTGTTGAAATTTTAGAAATTAAAAAAGATATATATCATTTTTCTTGTCTTTTTGTTCCCATTTCATTTTTTCCCCCTCAAAAAGATAAATAGAAACATTATTTTATTATTCTTAACTTATAAAGTACATAATAAATATTAAAAACAAATGTAAGATAAAAATTTGAATATTTAATTTTAAAAATTAATTTCCATATAAAAAAATTACTCTTTTTTTTTATTAAAATTGTAGAGAACAAGAAACAAGAAAGGATAATCTAACCTATTGTTTTATTTCTTAAAAAAAAAAAGAAATAAGAAACAAGAAATAATTATACAATGCGGTTCTATAAAATTAAAAAGATCAAACACTAAAAAAACATAAGTGAAAATGTTACACTCTTAATTTCTCGATATTGACTATTTTACTTTAGTAATTATGTCCCTGAATGCATGTCTTGTTGGATGGCAGAATAGGGATAGGAACATAAAGACAACTAGGACCAATCCATAATGCCATAGACTCCACACCTCTACTACTACGCTTGGGTCACTCTTTTTGTATTTCTCATCTCTCCCTTTTAATTAAGTAGGGATGGATATGGTGGGTAAAATATTTAAGATATATGATGCCAGTGGATCCCTAAGAAATTTGTTATCTCGATTGAAACATATTATAACTAGTGCAGCACTCGAACATAGATGGTACCTCAAGACTTCAAGCGCTTGTCAGAGCGCCTTTCCCTCAGGTGATGACAGGGTGGCTATTACTTTTACGTTTGTTTATGAGGCAGACCAAGATGATATGCAACTTTTAGGTTTTGTTTGCTACATCAAAATTTCAAATCGTGTTTTTACATGAAAAGTCTGCTTCACATATTATCCACGAATGTTTAAAGATATAGTAAATAAAAATTACTCTTATCATCCATGAGAGTTTGAATTATGATTTTATTTTTGGTTCATTTTATTTCAACATCTTATAGTTTAATGTCTCAACTTTCACGAAGAATTGTGAATAATTTCTAAGAATAGACAAAATAATTAGTGAAATAAAAATATATGAACCAAAGTCGTCAGAGGACTAAATTGTAAAGAACCAAATTATAAATTATAATGATGTCAACTGATCTCCACTCTCTTTGCATTACCAAATTTTACCTTTCACTCTCTTCCTACCCAGTGCTTTTAACTGTGTTGGAAAAATTTTAAACTTATAAACTTAAAACCTAAGGATTGATTTCTCAATTCGAATCCAAGAGAATTAAACTCATAGAAATACAAGTCTACCTTAAAGTCATAGTTAAAATTCGAAGGGATGGAATTAGATATTTTAAATCTAGATAGATCTTGATTTTTCTACGAGTTTTTCCTACGTAGAAGAAAGAGTTCTCTCTTTGATAGAGATGAGAGGAAAACATTTATGAATTGATCTGACATGGGGCATAATAAAAATCTGTGTAATTTAGATGCAATTGGAACCTTGACAATAATTCGTGAGTGTGATTTGTGTAATTTTTTTTTTAATGTAACAAATGGGAGTGGACATTCGAACTCATGACCTTTTGATCAGAGATAAATACCAATTACTTCATTGAACTAAATTCACGTGGTGTGTTGTGTGTAATTTTTAACACTGTTGCTTATCAAAACTAAGTAAGGAATCTTTGGTTTATAATGACTTTTTGTCTAAATTTTTTTAAATAAATGCGTTTACACTAATAAAACTTATTTTCCTTCTTAAAATAATTTTTTATTATTTTCTTTTCAAAAAAATAAATATATTGATTATTTCTATGTTGATTTTGTTATTGTGAATAAGTTATAAGGGTACGTACAGGAAAATTTGAGTAGCTTACAACTTGATGATCCTCGCAATAAATTTAAACATTATAGGATGTGGATTTGAATCTTTAGAGTAATTAATTTACTCAACAACTTAAAGAAAATAAGAAACGTGGAACCACCATGTCAAAAAATTATGTCAAAGGAAGTTAGAAATTCATATAAATATAATTTTGACTGCATCACATAAATGCGAAGAAAGTGGGAGATTCGAACTCATGAGAATTGATTCTTAAGGTAGGTAGTCATCATGGAATTTGAACTCATTCGCTCCCAATTTACCATAGCTCTTTTAAATCAATGAACTACCCATGATGGTTAAAAAGAATGTAACTTGAAATATTTACTAGTTTTTTTAAGTGATTTTTTCCCTTTATTAGTATAAGTTTTTTATGAAATTAATTTTACAAAAAGCAATTAACTTAGAAAGATAAAATTTAATGAAAAATCTAAAATAGAAACTATAATATACTAACTTTTTTTTTTAAGATATGAGAACCATTTCATTCAAGAGAGTATGTGGTAAACAAAAGGGAGGCTATAGGAAAACACTCCAATTAAGTGAAATGGTAGGGATATCGTAGTTACAAAAGAGGTTTGATTTTGTGGACTAGGATGAAGTTAGAACCTTTGCATCCTCGGAGAGTTGAAAGCACGGCTTGGAGGAACCTTTGCATTCCAATTATCAATCTCTCGATTCCAAATTTTGTTGAATGTTTGTCTGGAAAGAAACAATGGCATTTTCTCAGAGGTTTCTAGATCATCCGCTTCTCTTTGGGAGGAAATTATCATTACTACCTCTTCTTGGTCTTCTAAATCCAATCTCTTTTATAATTCAACAATTGCATGTTGGGTATCAAATCATTAACCTTAGACAGATATGATAATTGATTCGTTATCCATTTAAGCTATGCTTTGGTTGGTAATTAATTTTAGTTAACTTAACTTGTTTTTATATAAATTTAAAATTTTTTAGAATGTTGCGTTGTTATTTAATTTTATTCGTTAATTTCCATTGAAAATGAATAAGTCTAGATATGAAATATAATGTTAAATTTAAAAGTAATATTGAAGAATAAATACGTCATTTGTAATAAACCACGATCCATGTTAATCATGGTCTCTAGTATAGACCACCCTAGAATAGACTGTGGTTGATAAACTAATTGAATGTTTGAGTTGTTACGTGATTCGAGTCATTTTAGCTAAGTTTGATTATTGGTTTAGTTGGTGGCGGTTGTTCGCTTTATTTGTCTATTGTGACCCCTAGTTCAAATTAAATTTCATAATAATGAAAAGAACTGATTTATACGGCGACATAAAAATATGACACGTTATCCTCAAAAGAAGATACGTATTTTATTCTTATTCTATTGCGCACATTAAAAAAAACAGTTGAAATCTTTTGTTTGGAAAAACAAAGCAATGAAGAGGGAACTACCTTGATCATCTTCTCCTATAAAAAGCGATCTCATCTCCCCATTTCCACTCACACCTCTACAAAAATTTCATCAATCGAAATCAAAGCTAATGGCTTTTCGTTCCTTCTTTCTCTTATTTTTCCTCCTCGTCCTCGCCCGAATTTCCCATTCCTTACCCTTCGTGTATTTCCATGGTATTAGATTTCAATGTTTTGTTTCTTAAATACAACCAAACAATGTCTCTCAATAGCCTTCTAATTTTTTGTTATGTTAAAAGGAAATGACAAGTTTGGTTGAAAGAGCTGAAAAACAACCTGCATTTTAAAATTTAAAATTTGTTTCCTTTTAAAATAATTGAATTCGTGAATAATAATTAATTTTTATTTATTTATTTGAGTGTTGTAGTTTGTTCGTTTAGAATCGTAGTTATTTGTAAGTAAATATTAATTCATGGTAACTATAGGAGTGTAATTTCTATAATATGTTAAGATAATTATTGTATTTCATTTTTTTTTATTTCTTCACCATATAAATCTCTTGTACTATCCCACACTCAAATCATGTTATAATTCAAAATTATTTATAAGTATTATATGAATAATATATTTAACAAAACATGAAAATAAACATTTTGTTTATGGGAAGTGAAAATAAACACTTGAAAGCATAAAATTATTTTTATAAATATATTTAGCCCACCAAGTTTTTATACGTCCAAAAACTAGCTCTCTTTTTGCTTCAAGAAAAAAGAAAAAACTAGCTCTCTTTCATTCTCAACATTGAAAGCGTTATTAAACATGATTCTCCCAAACATACTCGTACTAGTTTTTTATTTTCTATTTTTTAAATTAAATTAAAGTTGTTTATTAAAAGTTTTTACATTTTAAAAATATTTCATAAACTTGACTAATCTTTTTCAAAATAGATTAAAAAAATATTCTATTAAAACAAAATAACTATCAAATATACTTTGGCTTTGTTTGTGCAGGTACTGGTGATTCATGTTCAAGTGAGAACTCAACTCATATCGTTTCATACTTGAAGAATGTTACTGGTGTCGAGGGTGAATGCATGTATGGTTTTCATTTTCAAAATTATTTATTTCCTCGACACTTTTACAATATCTTTTTATTTCATATAATGGTAATTTAATCAAAATTAATTAGTAAATACTTTTTTTTGGAATATATAATTATAATGCATGTCTTAAACTTTCGGCCAATAATAAAAGACTATTCGTGCCTTTTCTTTTTTTAATTCTAACAATATGGAGTGGACTCGAATACTTGACCTTTAAGACAAATGTATTAATTCGTTAAGCAATAAGCTAGGCTTAGATTTATATTAACAGGTTAAATGATGTAATTTAATATATCTATATATAACGATAAATGCTTAGATTGACAACTAATATAAATTATATATTTATTTATTGTCTAAAAAAATAAATTATATATGTGAATAATTGAATTGGAAGACAGATTTTAATAATTTGCACTCAGAGTGGACACAATAGTAAAAAAAATTATTGTTCAATTTTGTTATTTTTAAGCAGTACTTTAAAACATTTATCTGCATTATCGGTGTGATGTTTAAATATATACTTTTATATTCTTAGACTTTATTTGGTAGCAATTTTATGTTTTACTTTTATCTCAAGAGGGAAAAAAAAATTGGTGGAATCTTAGCCAATCTAAAAATCAAAAACGCAAAACAAGGTTTTTAAAACTATTTTTTTATTTATAAAATTTGATTAAGATTTTAGAGGAACATTTTTAAGTTAACAAGATTCTTTTTAATTCAAGAACATAAATATATTTATAAAAGCATAAATATCATTTTAATTTTAGTAAAAGTTATGAAATAAAATAAGTATAGACTATATGGGTTGGGATTGAAAATTTAAAATTATATAAAGGATAAAAATGTAGAAAAATATTACTAGCTATATCACTAAGATATTATCCATTTTCATTACATTACAGGGAAATTGGGAATGGAGCTACTGATTCTGTGTTCATGCCCATTAACCAACAGGTTTTACAGATATTAATCAATTTTCTTTTTTTTTCTCTCTTTTTTTTTAGCAAATATTCTTGAAATTTAGATATTATATATTGATGTGAAATTGTAAATTAATTTTCTAATTTTGTTTGATGCAGATACAAATTGCTTGCGACAAGGTGCTAATTTTTCTCCATCAAGTATTTGTATTGCTTGATTTTTAATTTAACGGAGGCTTGATATTATTGAACAGAAATAAAAAAAATTTTAACATTCTTAATATATATATTAGAAACATTGGGGAGACTGATTTGTGATATTCATTACTACTAATTACAGGTGAAGGAAGCAAAGCATTTGAGAAATGGTTTCAATCTCTTTGGTATCTCTCAGGTAATTTTAATAGCATCTCTATAGTATTTCATTTTAAAATTAATTGAGTTAACAAAATCAACATTAGAAACAAGTCATAAATATTATATTAAAAAAAACCTAGGTATATATTCAAATGTTATAGATATATATACTTGAAACAGGTCAAAAGGTGAGGGACAAAATGTTACATTTTACCTTTATATATATATATATATTCATAATTCTAAAAATTTAGAGAAAAATTTCACCAGATTCAGATTTTAAATCTTTTTTTTTTATATAATATTTTGTTTCTACTTATTTGTATGTTGTTATATTATATTGTGAATAGGGTGGGTTAATATCGAGAGGTGTAATACAATTCTGTGATGGAGCACCTCCTGTAAGTGTCCACCATTTTTTTTTTCACTTTATATATTTTTAGGATTTTATTATATATAATTTCTAATTTTTTGTTTTTTGTTTTTTGGAAAATTTGGAACAGGTTAACAATTTGATTACTCTAGCAACTCCTCATGCTGGTCTTGCATTTTTCCCTGCGTGTGATGTTGTAAGAAACTATTTTAATATTTTGGATCTGAGATAGACATTTTACAAGTTTATAGGTGAATTTAGAATAATCTATACCATCAAAATGCGATTAGTTTATTAAGTATCCATTTATTAAGTATTTTTATCGTTTCTTGCAGTTTCAAAATTGGTGTCCATTAGTCCAATATGTGTGGGACAAGCTGGTTTATACAGATCTTGTCCAAGTAAGCATCTTCTAATTTCTCATATTACTTAATAGAATTTTTGCCAAATTTTGAAAAAGGTCTTTTTGCATTTTCTCATTTTTATTCTCTTTTATATGTGTGTAGGATCATATAGCTCTTGCAGCCCATTATAAACGACCAACGGTAAGTATTACTAACAAAAATAGAAAAAAAAGGAAGAAGAATAAGAATAAGAAAAAGAAAACTGATGAATTAGTCAATGGAATATTTTCAGATGATCAAGGAATATTTGAAGCAATCTAGACTTCTTCCGAAGCTCAATAACGAACACCCACAACATAGAAACGCCACTTACAATAAGCGTTTTAGTAGCTTGACAACTTTGGTACTCCTCATGGTAAGTTTTCATTTTTAATTTTCTTTTAACTTCTAGTTTCGAGGTAATGAGTAGATCATGCCTTAACCGTTGAGATAAACTTGTGTTATGCATGTTAATTAAGGATTCTATGTTGAAAAGAAAAGAGATGTAACATTTTTTTTTGTTTTTTAATGAAATAAGAACGAGGGCGACATCTTTGCGAAGCCGAGGGAAAGTTCATGGTTTGGGTACTACAAGGATGGGAGCCTTAAAAATCTTCTGCCTGCAGATGAGGTAATTACCTTAACAAACAAATTAATATCTTGTTGAAGCTTGAGAGACCCAATAAGAAATGGATTAAGAAATTAATGAGTTTGAAATTGAATGGAATATTTGCAGACACAACTTTATAAAGAGGATTGGATTGGGTTGAAGATTTTGAATGAGAGTGGAAGAGTGAAACGTTTGAAAGTTCCAGGAAACCATGCTGAAGCAACTGATAAAGATTTGAGAGAATTCGTGGCTCCTTTCTTGATGGAGAATTCTTATAATCATCACAACCCACTCCCACTAATTACCCTCTCATCCAACCCAACTGATTTCTAAGAACCCAAATTATTCATCCTCTAAAAAAACAAGCCTTACAACCTTGTTTATATCTATGGTCAGTGGATTATGTAATATCGTGTCAGTCTTGTGTTATCTTGTTTCGTGTAACGTAAATGTAAGCCATATGGGACTATTCTGTTTCGGTAGAAACAGAACTTGATGTTTGAATAAAAGAACTTATCTTCCCTAATCATGAATTTGCATTTTTCATATAATGAAGTTTAATATATAGATGGCACTTTCCGTCTCTGAAATAGTTCTAAACTTTTCAGATGTTCCTAAAGTAAGCTACATCTGAGTTAAAACTTGGAGAGGAAGGTATTATTCTTTCGTTTCTCGATGGTGTGAAATAAGAGTAAGCTTGTGAATTATTATCCTAGGTCGGAACAAGTTGATCGGATCCCATTTTGTACATCTCCATATCCCTCCATGGAGCAAATAAAGATTGGCTGGGAAAGAATTTGATAGATTAAATCAATTGAAGAGGAGGCTATTAATTTTTTCTCTAATATTTACCAAGGGGCTCCAATACTGGTCATATTATATCCAACATTTTCTGCTGAGCCAAGCAGATTGGTTAGCTATTGAATTCATCGGTGCATCTCGTCGACTACTTTCTCAATTTTGCTGAATGGAAAACCGCAGGGAAAGATTTGTGCTAGTAGAAGTATCCGCGCCAAGGAGATCCTTTATCTCCCTTCCTATTCGTACTTAGTCGCAGTTTAGATGAAATTTACGGATGTGAAAATTCACAATCTTCATCGTTTGCTGAAATCCTTTGAACTTGCTTCAGGGCTCGACATAAACGACCTAAATAAATCTTCGATTTCTGGCTCATATTTAGGCATGTTCTCTCACAAGAAATCCATGAGAGGATCTTTAATGTCCTTCAAAGATCGTGGCTCTTTTGGCTCATCAATCTTGACCAGATCCCATTTTTAGACCGGTTGCTCGTTTGAGCTTTTGGGCTGTCATACCATATTAATATCTATGGAGTTCCATCTCAAAACCAATTGACAATATGATATGAGTAGTTCATGTCTATTATAAACCATTATAAGATCTTTTTTTTCAATGTGGGATCATTAACAGTGGAGATATTCGTCAGAACCATATTGGTGATTGAAGCCAAATATTCTGCATTTCTCCCTGGTTCTGGTAGGATGTTGTCCGCTTTGGGCATAGCCCTCACGGTTTTGCTTTTGGTTCCACCCAAAAGACCTCATACCAATGGTTATAATTGTCCTCCCTTATATACCATAGATCACCCCTTTCCCTAACAAATGTAGGATTTTGTTTGCACTCATTTTACAAACCCAACAATATATAAATATATATAAAGTGAAAATATGCCATAGGAATAGCTAAAAGATAATTTCTAATGTTGAAGGTGTATTCAACCAAATTAAAAATTTTGAAATACTACATTAACATAAGTTAATTTGGTGACATCGGGTGGCATCACTCATATTATATATAATGGTGTTCAATAATTTTCAAGAGGGGATAATCGACTACTATATTTTCAATTGTGATAAAGCTGAAAAATTGTGAAACATAGAGATATTATTTAGCTGCATCATAAGAAAAGAAATATGGATGTCTTGTTACTAAAGTTCATTTAGGGTCATGTTGAGATGTTTAGTAGTTGGTTGTTTCATACATTATATCATATTCAAACACAAAATCAAATGGAAAAAGTAGGGAGACTTTTATTTTGTTAGCTAAAATTAAAATATAAACTTTATCTTCAATTTTGATATTTATTCCTACTCTAAAGCCGACTCTCTCACTAAGATTCTTGCATTGACTCCACTTGCTCCATACCCGTTTGCTCCTATCTTGAGTACCAATATAAAGCATCGAAGTGCATTTGGCATATATAGCACCACAAAACGGTACTAAATTTTTGTTTGTAAGGTGAATTTTGAACAAGGAGACGAAAAACGTACTGGCACTCTCGTGGCAGCAGTCTTGGTAACTGGCACCTATTCCTTCTCTTGAGGTTGGAAGTTCGAATCTCATTCCAATTTGTTGTATTAAAAAAAGTATATACATAGATACGACTATAAAAACAAAAAGTACCAACATAAGCTTCGCTCAACGGTAATTGACACCTATTTTTTACTGAGAGATCATGAGTAATTCGAATCTCTCCACGTCACTTGTTGTACTAAAAAAAATTATATTCTATTTACGTAAATGTTAAAAATGAGCCACTGGTGGCTTGAAAAAGTTGAGAATTAAATTATTAATTTAAGAAACTTCCTCAAAGTGTCATGTTTTATTAATCGATTAATCTTAACCTAATTAAACGGCAATAATCCAATGTCTCATTTATTAGTTCAATTTAATAAATTTGGTTATGAATTTTAATTCTTCTTTCTAGTCCGAGAGTACAAAAGTTGAACCTCCAAATGATAAGGGATGAGAGATCAAAAAGTTTTAAAACCTATCAGAATTAATTAAATTTAACTACCCTCAAATCATAATAGATTAATCAAGTAGAAATCAAGCACATGTAAGAAAAAATAGAAATATAAATTTGAGTTAAAGAAAATGTTAAATGAGAATTATTTTGATAGATCTAATGGAAAAGTTAGTGAGTAGTTGAGCGGTTACATATATAGTTAAATTGGTAGTAACCTATATGAGTTCGAAATGGAGAAATAATATTAGGAATTTAAGTCAGAGGAAAGGAAAGAGAGAAGTAGAAAAGAATACTGGCTATGGGAGGATTTTTATTTTTTTTTTTAAGCAAAAATATCATTTTATTGAGAAATGATGCGAGAAACATATAAAAAAAATGAGGTTATATAAGAGCGCTTCAATTTAATGAAATGATAGATAAATTATAATTACTAAAAAGATGGAACTTTGAGGACCAAGTTGATGCCGAGATTTAATATCCTCCCAAAGTTGAGTAGAAGAGCGAGATTTGTCCAAAAAAAGATCGGTTGTTTCTTTCTAACCAAACACTCCAAAGAACAGCACCAATACCATTTTTTCAAAGAATGGATCTACTACTATCAGATGAGGGGTAGAGAGCCTCGGGTGAGAAAAAATTATTGAACAAGACCATCGTAATATTGGCTATTGATTGTCCTCTAATAACTGTTACAACGTTCTTAAAAAAATCATTTTCGTTCCTATTCTCATATCTATTATTTTAATTAGTTTAAGGTTTTCTTTTTTTGGGTAACTTTCTCATTTTTAATTTCTTATTTCTCGTTTTTAGCGTTTGAGAAACATAACTATTTGATAATTGTTCTTATTTTTCATTTCTCATGTTTAAGGAGCGTTTCCAAAATTGTATTGAAATTTTAGAAATTAAAAAATATATATATTTTTTCCTTGTTTTTTTTTGTTCCCATTTCATTTATTTTTTTCTCAAAAAGCTAAATAAAAACATTATTTTATATTCTTAACTTATAAAATACAAAATAAATAAAGGGGATTTGTAATGGGTAGCATATAAGTTTTCTATACTTAGCATGCCTTTTTGATATTTTCAGATATAGCATTTATTTTAAAATCCTGATTTTAAAATTTTCAGTATTCACAAATTACCCTTTTCAATTATCGCTTCGTTATTATATATCAAACATATATCACACATATATCAGGAGTATATCTGACAACATTAGTATATCAGAACACGTAAATCAATAGTATATCAGAATTCAATCAGTTCTATTTCAGTTGTGTAATAGTAAATCACTATTTTATCTGCATTAACCCTTTGTCTTGTATTTTTTTGATAAATTAGAAATTAGCAGGTAATGACATGCATGGAAAATGAGAGAAAAAATTGCTACTTACTAAAAATGAGAAAGAAAACTTGAAAAAGGAACATGAATGTGAACGTCAATTGTGATTTTCGAAATTACTGTGAATGAGAAATCAATTAGAAATTAGATGTAAATATAAACTTAGGGTTTTTCTATATATCAGTAATACATCAGTGATATATCAAGTATACATCGTACATATATCAATAGTACAATTAAGTTTTATTTAAAGTTTTAAAGATCAAAATGAAATCAGTAATAATGTCATTCTTAAAAGGTTTAAACATCATTCTTGGGTATCAACATCCACATCAAATCACCAGCAAAGTCCTTCGAATTCAACCAAAAACTTAAAAGTTTAAACATCAAAACGAACCAGTAGCATAAACCAAAAGTAGACTAACAATGTCATTCTTAAAATCCTATAAAAGAAGAAGCATAAGTTCCAGAAGCATAAGTTTCAACCGTCTAGAAAAGCGTAAGTTTCATTCTTGTATAATCTTTAGGTAAAAGCTTGGGACATCAATCTTCGTTTTTGGTGATTGTCGTGTCTTCAGAGATAATATCTTTGAAGCTTTCCGTTTTTCCATAGACAATACTTTTGGCGTTGGTTTATGTTGTCTTTTGGGACGAACGACATTAACATTTTCGACGATGTTTTTTTATTTAATTTTTCGTGTTTGTACCATTGCTTTTATCTGAAAAAAAAATTATTTCATATATTAGTAGTATATCAAAAAACATATATTAGATGTAAATATGTTCGAAATAATTGGTAGATATCATAGTTATATCAAAAGTAAATCAATTTCATATCATATGTATATCAAACATATATCAAAAGTATATATGTCAATCATAGTTATATAAGAAGTCAATCATTTCTATATCACCTATAGTAGTAGATATCACAGTTATATCAGAAAAATCAATTTCATATCATATGTATATCAAACATATATCACATATATATCAGGAGTATATATGTCAATCATAGTTATGTCGTAAGTAAATCAATAGTATATCAAAAGTCAATTAGTTCTATATCACCTACACTACTAGAATTTTGGCTTTTCGTGACACTCATGAACAGTAAAATACTGTTCAAATAAAAAAAAAACGTCACGAAAGGAAAAAACTGGGTTTTTGGAGGGAAAAAACGGAGGTTTCCGAAATTTTGACATTTAAACGTCACAAAAGGTTTGGCCAAACAGGCGCTTTTCGTGACGTTTTTTAAACGTCACAAAAAGTGAGGCGCGTTTTTTTGCAGGAAATGACGGAATGTTCCGAATTTTTTACCTTTCGTGACATTTCTTTTAACCGTCACCAAAAAGTACAAATTACGTATGTTTTTTGTGACGTTTAATAAGCATCACGAAAAGGACACGTGCATTTTTTA